CTATGTATTAGAGCAGAGCCTATAATCCCTAGCCATACAGAATTGCCGAGGCAATGGACGGGAAAGTGGGTAACCAGAATGTGTATTTTATCAAATTTGACTTTTTTTCCCCGTGTTACGGATGAAGTTTTCGGCCTTTAAAAATGCTTACCCCAGAAATTCTTTACCCTCACGTTTTAGTACTATCCAATAGCTATTCATTAGGGCAGCGTCTATAATCCCTAGCCATAAAGAACAACCGAGACAATTGGTCGGAAAGAGGGTACCCCAATTCGTATTTTATCGAATTTGGCTTTATTTCCATGTTTCGGACGCAATTTTCGGCCTCTAGGAATGCTTACCCTAGAAATTCTTTACCCCCACGTTGTAGTACTATCCAATAGCTATTTATTAGATCAGAGTCTATAATCCCTAGCCATACAGAACTGTCGAGTCAGTGGGTTGGAAGGTGGATGACCCCACTGCGTATTTTATCAAATTTGACTTTTTTTCTCCGTGTTACGAACGAAGTTTTCGGCCTTTTAAAATGCTTTACCCCAGACATTCTTTACCCTCATGGTGTAGTACTATCCAATAGCTATTCCTTAAGACAGCGTCTATAATCCCTAGCCATGAAGAACTCCAGCGACATTGGGTCGGAAAATGGGTGTCCCAAATGCGTATTATATCGAATTTTGCCTTATTTCCATGTTTCGGACGAAATTTTCGACCTTTCAGGATGCTTACCCCAGAAATTCTTTACCCCCCCCTCCCCGCTGTAGTACTATGCAATAGCTATTTATTATATCAGAGTCTGTAATCGCTACCCATACAGAACTGTCGAGGCAATGGGTTGGAAGGTGGGTACCCCATGCGTATTTTATCGAATTTGGCTTTATTTCTAGGTTTCGGACGCAATTTTCGGCCTCTAGGAATGCTTACCCTAGATTTTCTTTGTGCTATCATTGTAGTACTATCCAATAGCTATGTATTAGAGCAGAGCCTATAATCCCTAGCCATACAGAATTGCCGAGGCAATGGACGGGAAAGTGGGTAACCAGAATGTGTATTTTATCAAATTTGACTTTTTTTCCCCGTGTTACGGATGAAGTTTTCGGCCTTTAAAAATGCTTACCCCAGAAATTCTTTACCCTCACGTTTTAGTACTATCCAATAGCTATTCATTAGGGCAGCGTCTATAATCCCTAGCCATAAAGAACAACCGAGACAATTGGTCGGAAAGAGGGTACCCCAATTCGTATTTTATCGAATTTGGCTTTATTTCCATGTTTCGGACGCAATTTACGGCCTCTAGGAATGCTTACCCTAGAAATGCTTTGCCCTCTCGTTGTAGTACTATCCAATAGCTATTTATTAGAGCAGAGTCTATAATCCATAGCCATACAGAATTGCCGAGGCAATGGGCGGGAAAGTGGGTGACCCGAATGTGTATCTTATCCGATACCTATTTATTAGAGCAGAGTTCATAAGCCCTAGCCATACAGAACTGCCGAGGCAATGGGTGGGAAAGTGGGTGACCCCAATGCGTATTTTATCAAAATTGAATTTTTTCCCAGTGTGACGGACGAAGTTATCGGCCTTTTAGAATGCTTACCCCAGAAATTCTTTACCCTCCCGTTTTTGTACTATCCAATAGCTATTCATAAGGGCAGCGTCTATAATTCCTACCCATAAAGAACTTCCGAGACAATGGGTCGGAAAGTGGGTACCACAATGCGTATTTTATCGAATTTGGCTTTATTTCCATGTTTCGGACGCAATTTTCGGCCTCTAGGAATGCTTACCTAAGAAATGTTTACCCTCCCGTTTTAGTACTATCCAATAGCTGTTCATTAGGGCAGCGTCTATAATCCCTAGCCATAAGAAAATACCGAGACAATTGGTTGGGAAGGGGTGACCCCAGTACAAATGTGATGCAATTTGGCTTTTTTCCATGTTTCGAACGAAATTTTCGGCCTTTAAAAAGGCTTACCCCAGAAATTCTTTACTATTCTGCTGAAGGATTATCTAAGAGCTATTCTAAGAGCTATTCTTTGAATCAGAGTCTCTAATCCCTAGCCATAAAAAACTACCGAGGCAATAAGTTGGGAAATGGTGACCCCAGTACAAATTTGATACAATTTGGCTTTTTTTCCGTTTCGAACGAAAATTTCAGCCTTTAAGAAGGCTTACCCCAGAAATCCTTTAATATCCCACTGAAGAACTATCTAAGAAATATTCTTTGAAGCAGAGTCTCTAATCCCTAGCCATAAAAAACTTCCGAGACAATTGGTTGAGAAGTGGTGACCCCAGTACAAATTTGATACAATTTGGCTTTTTTCCATGTATCGAACGAAATTTTCGGCCTTTAAGAAGACTTACCCAAGAAATTCTTTACTATCCTGATGGAGTACTATCTAATAGCTATTCATTGAATCAGAGTCTCTAATCCCTTGCCATAAAGAACTACCGAAACAATTGGTTGGGAAGTGGTGACCCCAGTACGAATTTTATACAATTTGGCATTTCTCCATGTTTCGAACGAAATTGTCGGCCTTTAAGAATGCTTACTCAAGAAATTCTTTACCATCCCGATGTAGTACTATCTAATAGCTATTCTTTGAAGCAGAATCTCTAATCCCTAGCCATTAAGAACTACCGAGACAATTGGTTGGGAAGTGGTGACTCCAGTGCGTATTTTATTCAATTTGGCTTTTTTTCCATGTTTCGAACAAAATTTTCGGCCTTTAAGAATGCTTACCCCTGAAATTATTTACCCTCACGTTGTATTACTATCCAATAGCTATTCATTAGGGCAGCGTCTATAATCCCTTATTATAAAGAACAACCGAGACAATGGGTTGGAAAGTGGGTGTCGCCAATGCGTATTTTATCGAATTAGGCTTTATTTCCATGTTTCGGACGAAATTTTCGGCCTTTAAGAATGCTTACCCCAGAAATTCTTTACCCTCCCGCTGTAGTACTATCCAATAGCTATTCATTAGGGCAGAGTCTATAACCCCTAGCCATACAGAACTGCCGAGGCAATGGGTTGGAAATTGCCCAATGGCTATTTTATCAAATTTGACTTTTTTTCCGTGTTACGGACGAAATTTTCGGCCTTTAAGAAATCTGCAAACTAAAGTTAGAATTTTGTTAATGGGATATAAAAATCTTGTTTTCGAACAAAAAAGTCAAAAAACTATGATTTTAAAGAAAAATGAAATTGCTCAAATAGTTTTCCAAACGCAATTGCAGGATGACGAATTGCAGGATAGCTTTTTATAAAGAGAATTGCAGGATGAGAATTGCTGGATAGCTTGACACTAGTACAGGATAGATGTATTTTATGTATCTTTCAAAACTATTCAAAAGGCTGTTGATTTATCAAGAGACTTCAATTGAGGGTACCTGACCTGTTTCCTTTTAAAACACGGTTGATCTAAGTTTACAAGTATTATAAGATAATATTATTCAAATGAATCACTTTAATTTCACAGCTACATTTACACTAGATTTACCGTCTTTAATATATTGATCACACCTTGGGTGTATTTGGCTTTCCAACACTATATATAGCCTCGTTATTATATTCAGAACTTTATGTACACTTTATTTGAGTATTATAACAAATGTGCGTGTGCGTATCTGTACGCTAGAAATACAGACTACCATAAAAATAAACGCTTAATCCTGAAATCTTTAAGAATTAATTAAGCATTCTTTCCCGGATCCCAAAAAATAATAATTGATTCAATTACAGAGTCCCGATAAGTGTATATTCCGGATTTCCTCAAAAATAAGGGCCCAATCCCCACGTTCTACGGAAAAGGTCTTTCCGCCCCTCTATAATGTGATCCGTCCGTATTCACATGTTAACATATGGTACAGAAGGAAGGCGTTAATTATTGATTTGATCTGAAACTTAAGTACTCAATAAACGTTAATGATGTGTAAAAAATAGACAAAAAATGCCGGGATTATTACTTCCCCGTTCCATTTTCAATGTAGAAGCGTCAATCAATCAATAGAAACTGATGCCAGGCAAACACTCGGAGGTTTAAGAATATAATCATTTTCAGGTTTGTTTTATTCTCTCTTCCTTTTTCAAGGTTGAAACAGATGCAATGAAAAAAAAACAGGAATATATAAACCTGTCATACAGAATTCATTCATCAACGTATGTTGTAATTATCAATAGAAAGGATCTAATGTAACAGAATATATATATATTAAGAAACTACCCCCTTTTTTTACATTGGAGGCAAACACCAGCGGGATTATAAAAACTATACAACATATACAGAATGTTTATTGAAAATATGAACATTAAGTTTAAAGTGACCTAAACGGACCGAGTGTAATTTAAACTATTATTGTATTATCAATATGTAATGTTATCTATGATGCACATGCCACTATAATAAATGATCTACTTACTTACTTACTTACTTTAATACGTATACAGTCTACGTAAAATAATCATCATTATAAATTTTAATTAAAAGTGTCAATACAATTAAAGTAAAAGTATTTCTTTTAAAATCAAACCTTTCTAAAAATGAAAAAAAGAAATCCGTTACAGTGCAGTGCGATTTCTGTAATATTATTAAAAGTTTACACATATATTTTGACTCTTTTCTTAAAATACACATATTAAATCGAGCATTTCAAATGAGGAGTGATTTAGCAATATTAGATATGTATCATGTTTATAGGATAAAGGAAGTCAGTGGAAAATGTTTCGGTTCACTTATATATAACTACTGAAAAAAGTCACGATATATATTATATGTACTTACTATTTTTAAATGACGTAATACTAAATGTATACTGTCTTTACTTATTGTTAAATCATGGGATGTACTGTGTATTGTGTTTATTCATACAAGCGAAAAAGAATCATAATACATCATGTGATATAATGATTTTTTTTATTTAAACGTTTTATCAAAATCGGAAACAGGGTAAGTAATCATGCTTTATATAAGTACATACTAGGCACTTGACAAACAAATTTATTTTGCGATCGATCGATTCATGTGTGCATTTTTGCATGGAATTTAGTCATTAAAGTGAAAAATCTAGATGCCATTTTGTGCTTAAGAACTGTGGAAACTGTGCATGCATGTGTAAATGGATAGCTTTACCATGTTTACGTTTAAGTGTTACCAATATCTCATCTTACTAGTACGTGTCAGAGGCGCAATTTTTGTGGCCACTACGTTGTGATGACTGTAGGTCACTAAAACATCGCCATAATGTCATGGGAAATAGGACAAATCCAAGAGTTCATATGTTAGAAGAGAAAATTGTCGACAATCTACGATAAGAAGTTGGATTAAAATTTTGTCTCGTTGTACAAATAATCTCTTAGATCTATTTATTTGTCATATATCACCTATAAGTAAGTGTAAAATTTTACAGATAAGTTAACAGTACAATAAATACGGACGCCAGCTTGTGTAGTAATAGGCACAACAATCTATATTATAAAGCTTCTATATCGCAGTTAAATCAATTTTAAGTTCGAGCACAGGATGCCTTAAGATTCGAGGACACAATACCTCATTTTCGCATGTCGTAATGAGTTGGATTTAAGTCCATTGTTTCGTGAGTGGACTTATTACTCAGTATGACAGTTATTTTTATGAATATTCAAGTGACATGATGATGGGATCAGGATATTATAGTTTGTATGATGTAGTATATAATATCCGCCAATGTACATGCGAGATCATTGAGTGACTGCACATGATACAAGGGTAGAAAAATTTGCTCCAAAAGGAATAATCAATACATGGTAAGATAATTCTATTCTATTTTTTTTACACTAGTAAGATCTCACTTATATTAAATGGTCACTTGCTGGTTATATTAAGTACAGTGGCAAATATTTCATGCATATTTAGTACATACTAGTAGAACGCCTAAATTTCGATTATTGTAACTTCGGGGGATAGTTGGCAAATCCAATTATATCACATTTTTCTTATTGTTGTATTCAGGATAAAAACAAAGGCAATATATCAGATCACAACTATGTCATTATATGGACAGAATAGACATTTTAAACTATGTCATTATCGACAGAACAGACGTTTAAAACTATGTCATTACCGTTACGTAGGGGCTTTGTATAAACAATATTTTATTGAACCAATTAAGGGTCCATTGAGGACATAATTTACAGTTTGTAAACATAGTTGTACGTATATATATGGATATTGAGAAATAGAGAGATGATTTTTACCTAGCAAAATTTGTATATCTGGCTTTATATACAGCAGCATCAACCATTTTGTAGGAAAACCTCATTTAACACATTAGTATACCAGACGGGCTTATGGTATGTCTAAAACATCAGTGTGCTTGATTAAATCAAAATAGTATGAAGGTCGAACACATTACATAGTTAGAGATATAAAAACAAAACAAAATCAAAAACGTTGTGCCAAAAATAGGCTACGGCCATTTATGCCCGGTGGTAGTACGACTGCAGTGTTAGTAAATAAGACCTAAAAGACTTCAATACTATGCCTTTGTATGGGTTTTGTTATTCAAATGAAAATATATTTGACTCTAATGACAAAACGTTTGGATATCAAAATAAATATGAAAATGATCAAATGTAAACGAAGAAATTTAAAACGTATAGTTCTAATAAAACACAATTTACCTACAAATCTGATTAACAGATATACACGTATCTTTTGACTGATGTCACATTCAGTTTTAAGTAGAGAATGACACTGATGCCACCGGAATGAAGATATAAGTGGTACTTTTAGGAGTCAGGACTATTATGCATTAAACCACTTTAGTTAAGATATTCAATGGTAGGACATGTAGAACAATCCGTCCGTTCGGAACAAATCTTAACTTAAGTAGTTTTATGCATATCAGCCCTAACCACCAATTCATTCACTCGAATTAAGAATATATGTAAAAGCAGCCCAACTCTGAAAAAATCATGCGTTTGGCGTTGTTGTTTACCTAACCTAGCAAATGAATTTACACGAATGTAACTTTTTCTGATTGAGAAATATATTTTGAACCCAAATTTACTTGTGCATGAACTTACAACACAATTTTAGGGTAGTTATGCTCCATAGTATCCAAATGAAATTTTAAGTAGCCCAACATGCTATTTTTAATACCGAACATCATGTGTCACTACGAGACTTTAAACATTGGATAACAATTCACATGTAGAAAGTTGATATATGTATAAGTGAGGATATATCATGAAGTTAAACTTAAAGTAAAATATTTAGAGAGCTATGAAAATTGAAAAATTTGGTTGAATATATAGGGATTTCGAATTGGTGGTCTGACACTCATATAAGAACACCATCCCTATATATCTTATAGTAAAGATCCCAAGTTAACAAGACTAAAAATAATAAAAACTTGTTAAACTGTTAAAAGAATTTCATAATCAAATATCGAATACCTAGAAATTCAAATTTTGCCACAAACCACAAAATTGACGTTATGCTATCTAAATTGCAATTGGTATAATGAGGAGTCTTTATCCTTAAATTTTAATTTTCTTGTTGTTTGGATACCGCCTAGGTTGAGATTTAAGAGTTATTGGGCCTGGATGGGGTTAACAGAATAGAGAATAATGGGTGAAAAGTGCAGAATAAAGGGCAAATAATATAAAGAATAGAGCAAAATAGGCTAAAAGAAATAAAAATTACTGGATAACTGTAACAAAGCTTCGTAGTAAAATAAGCAACAACAAAAAACAAAAACAAAAAAATGGAAAAATGGAAAAAGGAAAAAGAAATCGAAAAAAACACAACCTTAAACCTATGGGAATTTTTTCGATGAAACTATTTACAACAAATGTTATTCAAATTTACTTGTCAATATTTCTGTGTTATTATTTGATCGTAGATTGTCGCTTTAAATTTGTTCCGTAAACTACTTTTTAAATGCATTTATGTTCAAGTACTTGCCCTTACATTTAAATTGAACATCTTACAAGTTGATTTTTCCTGGAAATAGAGCAATACAGAAGTACATGTAATACTAGAAACAGATCAAACAATCTAGTAACTGTATCTTAAAATATTAAGATATCACGTGACCAGAAAAGTTGGTCTAGTGACCTTTGACTTTCTTACAATGATAGAACTGTAAGATTTTCTGATTTCCTGATAACTTTGAAACGATTAAAAAAAGTCATCAAAGGTTTTGTACACCAGACGCAAGTTTCGTCTAACTACAAAAGACTCATTGGTGACGCTTGAATCCAAAAAATTTATAAGGCCAAATAAATCAAGAATTTGAAGAGCATTGAGGAACCAAAATTCCGAAAGGTTTTTCCAAATACAGCTTAAGTAATATATTTCTGGGGTAGAAAGCTTTAGTATTTCGAAAATTCAGTTTTGTAAATAGTTAATCAATACATATGACCATATCAATGATATTTCAAATCAACACAAAAGTACGGACTACTGAACAGGTGATACCATCTGAGAGGAAATTTCCACCAGCAGTGTTACAGTCGTTTCTTTTTTTTTTCAGAAGAATGAATGAATAGTGATATTTCAATTACGCACTGATCTAATTCAGCATGGCTTCGCAACAGCCTCTCACACAGAAAAGTTCTAATGTGAAAGGGGACAGTTTAGTGATTGATGACAAGCTCTCAGCTTCCCACAAAGCTGTGATAAAAAATTCATGTATGAATTCAGACTCGTTCTCGCAATTTTACACTCCTCCAGTGTTAAAAAGTTCATGGTGGAGAAATAAAACAAAAACTTTGATCTTGGCAGCCTTAAAAATATTAGTTCCTATTGCGTACATCTGTTATATGGTTTACGCAGTGTGGTATAGCTCTGAGCGAGCTGGGTTGCTTGCATGGGATATTTTCCTCCTAATTGTATGGATTTTCATATTTACGAAAAGACCAAGACGTCTAGTTATTCAAGGAAAAACAGTACTCATCATCAAAATCCGGTTATTGTTATCAAAAGGTACCTATGTTAGAGCGTGAGTATTTTGTAATCACTATAGACTTAAAAATAATAATATTACTACATTGTATATTCAATTTGTGTATACTGAAAGAATGCAAGTAATATTGGTATGAACAGACCGAGAGTTTTGCTTTGTCATTAAGTTGCTGTCTTGATTAGTTATACAAAACCCCGCATCTCATTTTATGCATACTCATGTAGTATTAACAATGAGGTTAGACAAAGAGTGTATGAGTGTTAAAAAATAGATAAAGACTAAAGGAAACTCACGATGTATCATAAATAGGAGTATTTTACTTTGAACACTATCTTATTCAATGAATTCAATCATGCTATCAAAAGATAGCACAGTATGAGTATAAACAAATTTGATGCAGAAACGAGCAATATTTTGATCTGTCTTGGTGACATACACACTTAATATAAAAACTTGGAGCATGGTCTGTCATTTGGAATATTTCGATTTTGCTTTTAAGTAAAACATGCCTTACAATTTTAGGTCTTGTATGGTATGACATAACATCTGCTTCATATGATTTTGTTTCAAGGGCGCAGGATGTTTGAACTTTTTTTACCTGTAACTCGAAAGGACATTCGCGCTCCAAATACTATGGACATTTGCGCTTTAAACTTTGATACACCTGAACAAAATTGACAGGACATTTGCGCTTTTTACCTATGAAAGATTACCTGTAATGTTAATAAAATTTACATATTCTCTGAAAGTTCTTCCGAACAAACGAATATTCAGAAAAAAAAAATTCGGGTAAACCAGACATTTAATACAAAAATATAGTATATGTTTTGGGGTAAACGATAGAGAAAACGAAACTTTTATGGACGGAATATTGGAATAAGGCCTAAATTCTTCAAGTAGCTTTATAATTCGTGCATTTAAAATTGAAAAAAATAATATTCTTCTTGTGTCCATTCTGTTGCACGATTAGTTCGAGGAACTGTACCATCATAGTTTATCTAATATAAAAATAAGAAGATGTGGTATGATTGCTAATGAAAAAACTCTCAACAAGAGACCAAATGACACAGAAATTAACAACTATAGGTCATCGTACGGCCTTTAACAATGAGTCAAACCGATCAATTTGTGAAAACCGAAATTTGATTTTTAAACTACTTGAATACTTGTTGACTTTTAAAAAGAGTAAGGAATTTATTTCCACCAACCTTCTTGAAGTGTTGTGGTTTTCATCTAACATGACATAAGCATGATGGGGAAAGATTGATTCTTTTAGCTATATATAGATATATGAATATTTTGTGCTTTTAATATGAAATTATTTTAAAAACTTTTTTACCATGATAACTCATATGTAATGGACGCCATCACGAGTTTGTTGACCGTTATGGAATAACAGTTTCACAGATGATATCGGATATGTTCCTTGTCGTATCTACAATACCCTTCCCGTTTCACGAATGTGATCTACCGAATTAGACTATTTACCGGATTTGTAATAACATAAGCAACACGACTGGTGCCACATGTTGAGCAGGATCTGCTTACCCTTCCGGAGTACCTGAGATCACCCCCAGTTTTTGGTGGGGTTCGTGTTGCTTAGACTTTATTTTTCTATGTTGTGTCATCTGCAGTATTATTTGTCTGTTTGTCTTTTTATTTTTGGCGTTGTCAGTTTGTTTTCGATCTATGAGTTTGAATGTCCCTCTGGTATCTTTCGTCCCTCTTTTATGTTGATAAAACGCAAACGTTTACCCAGAAACATATACTACTTGTATGTGATAAAGCGCAAATGTCTTACTTTAAAAAGCGCAAATGTCCTATTGATAAAGCGCAAATGTCCATTTAAAAAAGCGCAAATGGCCTATCAAAAAGCGCGAACGTCCCTCGCCGTTTTTCAAGGATGTTACGCAACACTAAATGTATCTTTAATTGTGTTGACATTCCATACATATTGAGCATGAGAGTTTTCCACCCAGGATTTCGAGTAAAAATTATTTTACCGAACATCGGTCGAAGGCACCTAAATATCGAATTTATCTGTTTGTTTTTAATGGTTTTTACTCCTTGCGCTGGAACTATGTATTACGATACTAGTCAAATAGAAATCTTGCAAATAGCGAGCATAACACCTTCTAAATAGACTTTAAAAATTCTTTCGACAGTAATTGTAAAAATAAATTCATTTGATCTCAATTCTTTTCAAATCATATAGGGACTATTTGCTCATGAGCATTAAACAACGCAAAACATCATAATATTTTGTAAAATTTTTAGGGTATTCCGAGACAATAACATGAACATGCATCTTTCCACAATTAAAGCCCAACTGCTACTCTTCTCCAACTTTAAATACGAAAGCTAGTTTGCCAGAGAACAAAACACCCAGGCCTTAAACAAGTGTATAAATAAGACAGCAGACAGACCGTGGCAGATGTATAATTTGATTGATTTGAAGACATATAATAAAGACAACTCGGACAGTCTATGGAGACAACAGGGATCGTCAATAGAGACAACTCAGTCCGCACGGACTTTAACAACGAGGAAATCCCGTATGGTAAAAGATCCCGTAATGACAAATTGTAAAACAATTATGACTAGAAAACCAACGGTCTGATTAACGGTAAAACAATAACCAAAATCATATATTGTAGGCAGCAATCAACAACAACTACCTAGTTATTGGCTCCTGGCTTGGGGCAGGCATATACAGACTGTGGCGGGGTTATACAAGTTTCTTGTGCGCATTTGCAATTGTGTCTTAAAAATATGTTTTTGGTTGAGAATATGAAATAAAATGAAATAGTCAGTTAAACTACTTTTACGCGTACAAACGTTGTGATAGTTGTTCTGATGTATGGATGTAGTCGCGTGCATTTCATTGATAAATTGACGCGGATGGATGATCCACTGTGAAGTGACATCATTGTCTAATATTTTCGAGTTTCAGGTCATGTCTATGATATAGAAAAATAGTAGACAGTAACTTCAAAAGGAATATGTACAAATTGCCGAAAAGGCAATTATAGGTCATTGTATGGCCTTCAACAATGAGAAAAACCGTTACCGTATCGTCGGCTATATAAGATTATAATATCAAAGATCTTCTTCTTTCTGATACGGGAGCTAACTCCTATGTAGGAGTGTAAAACTTCCCGGAACTTGTGTGCTATGTACAAATGGACTTAATTAAAATTACTATTAACAAGAGAATAAAAATTATCTATTGATATACATTATGAACAGTGGCTTTGGTGGTTTAATTAGTTGGAGTGGATCCTTCAAATGTAAGAGTGGATATGCCCTTGGATTCCAGGGTTTCAGACATAACTATCGCTTCAGGTAGTGAATTCCAGTCTGGAATGGTGTTTGGATAAAAAGAATATTTTACAGATTGAAGTCTTTGTTGGTTAAAATTTGCCGAAAGATATGAAACATTTCAAACTTGAAAACCAACAAAATCGGCTACATCAAAAAATAAATCGTGTTTTACCACTCAATATTAGTCAGTACACTACTTACGGTTTAAGTGTAAATCCTTCATTAAGCAGTTTGAAAAAAGCCTTGACCTGGTGCAATGCCAAAATACAAGCATCGACAGGGTGCACGTGTATGTTAAAAATGTTTATAACTGAACATCAGTAAATAGGAAGTTATGGTTTAACTTATTACGTAAAAACAACAGTAATGTGAATTAGTATAATAACTTGATGCTTCTTATAAAATAGATGATTAGATGTTTTATAATATCAAATAGAATCATTTATCTGATATCTTAATAAAGTTTATTCCAGTACGCCATAAATGAGATTACGTGATCTATATTGAAACCGTGGTAAAATTTACTTAGACGATTTCATGTTTCTTACTTCATCAAATAGAATAATTTCTTATCTGATATCTTAAAAAAGTTTATTCCAGTACGCCATAAATGAGATTACGTGATCTATATTGTAACCGTGGTAAAATTTACTTAGAAGATTTCATGTTTCTTACAACATCAAATAGATTCAATTCTTATCCAATATCTCAATAAAGTGTATTCCATTACGCCACAAATGAGATTACGTGATCCATAATGAAACCGTGGCAAAATTTACTTTAATTTTCTATCATCTTTTGGTGCAGTTGGTTATTTTAATGGTTCATTTGAAAATCCTGCTTAAAATTTTACAATTTGTTGCTTTAAAAAACCGTTGATTACATTTTGAAATATAAAAGTATAATTCACATCTGTTTCTTCCCCCACAATGCAAAATATAAAGTATGAATTACATTGGTGTCGCTTTAAGTTGTTTTTAAATCATTATATAAATTACCCACTTATATTACGACAAATTGTAAATGTTGTATTCATTAATTACTAGTAGATAAATAACACGTACATGAATACATGTACATGTAATGAGTAATTAGCTGTTTGTGTACTGCAGTTACATGTATATAACACATGCAATATTCCCACATGGACAGAAAATATGAAAATAAAACCATACAAATATTATACATCAAATGATACGTTCGCTATATTTTTCTAGGTTAAAGTTATTTGAATACATGTATGTATACTATGGTCATTTAAATGCAAGAGTTGTAGATAATACGTTGTATACATTAGCTGTCACATTCATGTTCACCGATTTGACTCAAATTCTCATATTTGATTTATAACAATGTAAAACATTTATCCAAACTATTAAAAGTCTAAAATAAACAATTTACAGAGCATGTGATTGATAATATGTAGCTTCGTTCCGTGTGTATTTTAGTCTTGACGCCATCTAATTAACTATCGAGTTGACCTCAGATGACCATATAAGCGATGTAAACATATATATAGATATAAATAGATCAAGCAACTCGTGCAATTGGATTTTTCTAGGTCTGTTTAATTTAATTTTATAGATTAGAAATATATCCTAATCATCGTTTTTACCTGTATAAAAATGATTTTTTGTGGATCATTCGAATCAGTCAATCAAATGATTTATCTTTGTTTCACTTTCAATACTGACATTCTTTTCCTTTAAATAACTTTACACGCACAATGCATGCGTTATCCATCTCTAACTAAGGGGTTATATTTAAGTTCACATGAATACGGATGTAATGAGGTCGAATTATTCACTTGCAATTGAATAATTCATCATCAATGTTTCTTTGCTTATTTTGACAAAATTGAACGATACTGGCTGCTAAAAGCGAATAATTATTTCACTATTTCACTTTCATTAATGACTGAACAAAAAAAATCATATTTTCGATTTTTTATATATCTCGTAGCTAGTGCCCCTTTAAACTGACCATGTTGACCTGGATAGTATCAAGTAAACAAACACATTTTCAATAACCACGTGGTGTTTAACTGTCGGACATAGATGATTAGATTGTGTTGATCTTAAATCGGAATAACTTAAAGGACAAAATGACCAAAAGTTTAAAATGACCATGGATAAGTATGTTGTGCGGGATTCAAATGACCGGTTTTCAGATGTAGAAAATGGAATACAAATAAATACTTGTGGAAAGAATGACAATGGATCCTCGTACGAATTGACTCCCGTAAAAAGTGTTGACTCTTTTTCATTTTTCGGTCGTCCATCGTTCCTTCGATCAAATTGGTGGGACAAAAAGAGGCGAAAAACGTTTTCTTTATTAGGACAAATCTTATCGTTGGTATTATATGTGATGTATATGGTCTATGCGATTTGGTATGACAATGACAACGTTATGCTATTGATATTTGACTGTGTTATAGTAATTATATGGGTTGCCTCCCATGCCGAGAAGTCTAGAAAAGTTTTCACTTTTGCTGGAAAGAAGATTGTAAAAGTTCACAAATCACTTAATTTAAAAGTCCCGTTTATGCGAGCGTAAGTATGAAAATTTAAAAAAAAAGTGTTCATTGTTTGAATTTCTTATACTTTTCTAATTCACTGTTTGCAGTAGCATAATACGCCATATATTGATATTATTTCCAGTTTCAATCTGCATAACGATTATTTCGTGTATATCTATATTCTAATTTTTGAACGATACATTTAAAATTTGCAATTTTCTTAAATTGTCATTAAAGTTGATACACGAGTGTAAAATTATCACTTTCAATTTATTTAAACAGGAATAAAAAATGTCCTATATTTATCAATAAAAGTATTAAATATTCACCATAATCTAAAATTTTAAAAATATGCATTTCGCTTTTCTCTTTATTAATTCAAGATTGAAATTCTGAAAAATCCTTTTAAGTTTGTTCCATATCCGTAATATCCGTACAACCTGATAAACTACATAAAGTCGTAGAAGAAAGAAAAATGCCGGTGGATAAAAATTAGATAATACTTTAAAGTATACCCTTAAGTAATATTTTAAAATCTTGACCTTATTGGTCATGGTAAGTCATTCACCTTTACGAGATTATTAAAGAAATCAATGAAGCTAGACATGATCATATTTTGACTATGAACGAAAAACACTCATGTTTAAAAGCGACCACTAATCTTTTTTGTGAGGGGCACGTTCCAACCTCTATACACATAAACGATGAATGGTCGATGCCTTATATAAAGAAAAAAAAATAGATGAAAACAATAGATTTAATCATTTAAATTCAATATTAGACAGTTATTCTCTCTTTCCTATTTTAATTGAATTGCAAAATGATCTAATGAATAAACATGCTTACTATGCAGTATGGGTTTTGCTCATTGTTGATGGTCGTACGGCGACCTATAGTTTTTAACCTCTATGTCATTTGGTCTCTGGTGGAGAGTTGTCTCATTGGCAATCATACCACATCTTCTTATTTTAATATACACGTACTTGGACGGCTTCGTTTATGTTTGAGACAACTAGCCCTGAGATGTATATTTCCATTCAATGTTATACGTATTTATAACCTACACACATCTTTCATGTTATCGTGGTAATATCTGATTCAAATGCGGTCTTCATTTATATTGCAAAAAAAAAGTTTGCTTGTTGAATCAATATTGCTCTGGTGAAGGAGTTTGACTAAATTTACATAATAACTTTAGCCATGTTTGAACATTTTTCAAATTGATTTACCAAAGTTCTGTTAGTGTGGCTTTGACATATTTAAGCAAGAATCAGTTCCACGTGTTGCATGACTTACAAATAGGTCTCAATACTAAACGGTCTTGTAAGAATATAAATGTTAAATGGTCTTGTTCATGTTGTTAGAATCTAATACAAAAATATCGGTATTGTCGTAATTTTAATACAAGCAGCCGGTATTGTTGGAGCTGCCATATAACATGTTTTATTGACAGTCGTTTTCGAGTTAGCATTTATTCCAAACTGACATTTTAGGGTGCGTTTTAATTTTCAGGACGGCCGGTTTTTGTACAAAGTTTAGGTCGGTAGTTTGCATGTTCATGAACTGCCAAAAATGCCATCAAAAGTCAACGCAATCTCGGAAAGGTTATAGCAAATTTTACATATACATGAATTTTTCATTCAAACAACGCCACGCAAGCGAATAAGAAGACGGATGTTTCGACAGTAAATAGATATCGAATGTGTATGTTCTTTGAAAGAGATACAAAAGATACCAAAGGGATATTCAAATCCATACGTCGAAAACAAACTGAAAACGCCATGGTAAACTACAAAGAGACAAACAACAGCCCCAAACATATAATAGGAAACAAACGACTGAGCAACAAAAAAAATCGGGATGATCTGAGGCGCTTCGTAAGGGTTAGCAGATCCTGCTCTTCATGTGACTCCGTCGGGTTGCTCATGTTAAGAATCCTTTCATTTTTCAGAATTACCATGTTGAAAAGAATCATTTTATTTTTAAGAATAACCAAGTTGAACATGTTGAAAAGAATCATTTTACTTTTCAGAATAACCATGTTGAAAAGAATTTTTTTATTCTTCAGAATTATTACAACAGTCACTCTTCTTGTGATATTTGGATTTCTATGTTACGACTGGTATCAAGATAAACGAAAACTGGTACCTTTTGGCGGGCTACTATTTTTCATTCTTATTGTGTTCATTACGTCACGATCTCCGTCAAAGGTAAGTTAGATGAGAAACGGTTCATGGATTTGTTTACTTCTGCTGAAACCCAAATGGTCCAGTCGTTGTTTTGCGCTCACTGCGATTACTAGTGTGATCTGGAGACCACTGACCGCAAAATTGAAGGAAGATCATGTAATAATATAAAGTTTGAATAAGGACATCATGGCTACGCTGATAATACATGTAACATATGAATTTTCTAATGTCAAATCAGTTACCTTTTCTTATTTTGCTTGTATTCAATTTGATGCATTACCAAGAGAGAAAACAATCAAAACCGATTAAGTATTACATGCGACTAATTTTGGACAGTCGGCTGTCAGACCGTTATTTTGAATATACAGGCATTTAATTTTAGTAATTTGATAATATATCGCTTGAACGGTGAAAGATGAAATACTATAGATCCAACAATTGTATATTGATTAGATCCTGGAATAACTCATATTCCTTGAGGTTTAGGGGCCTAGATCTGATTTGTGTAATTTCCTATAATTTGTTTTTGTTGTATGTTATATCCATCTTTATTTATTGCAGGTACAATGGACACCCGTTATATGGGGTATAATTCTTCAGTTTGTTTTGGGTATGATCATCTTACGGTGGCCTACAGGGTATGCAGTATTTCAGTTTATAGGGGATCAAGTGACAGCCTTCCTTGCCTACACAGACAATGGGTCCAGATTTGTTTTTGGCGATGAAGGATTGAAAGACCACCCTGTAGTGTTTAAAGTAAGATCATTCGTAACATAAGCATTGCTTTTAGTGCACTTAAACTTAAATTTAAATCGTTTATGTCTTGCAATAATTTTATGGCATTGTCAAGAAATATTTTTTAATTATGCCGGTTTTTTTTGTTGGGTTCGTGTTTCTCTTTTCTTTAGTTTTCTGTGTAGTGTTTTGTATAATGTTGTGGATTTGGTTGTTTTCGTTAGGCGATAAGATAATCTGCCCTTTCGAATTACAGTTTTTGAATACTCCATTTGGGTATCTTTCAAAAGGTTCCAGCACTGATTATTGGACGGATCGTACATTCGGGGACTGATGGTCAACCAACTGCGGTATCGTTGTACCCAGTAAAACTTTATTTCTGTAGCTATTGATTAGGAATACAGTAGATCATCGATGATCCTTTGCATATAAGATCATATAACATAAATAACAGGCAAACTTTGTATTAAAGCAATGTTCAAAACTCGTAAATCCGTTTTGAATAACCAACTAGAAAGAAGAAAAAAATATGAATAATCGCATGAACTTAACACGGAGTGAGACATTAATATGGCAATACAGTATGCTTACTAAATAAAAGACATACAATTTAGAACACTTTTATTTTCATTTCAGGTTTTGCCTGTAGTTGTCTTTTTCAGCGCAATTGTCAACATCCTGTACTATCTCGGTGCCATGCAAGTAATAATTAAAGGTATAGCACGTGTGCTCAGATTTGCCATGAAAACGACACCGATGGAATCGTTTGCCACATCCGCTCATATATTTGTTGGACAGGTACGACAGTCTTTCAATCAATTGTACCTTTGAAGAATTACCTAATACGCAATTTCATTATACAAATTTTGAAATCATCTTGAATGAATGAATTACCTCCCATTGCGTAGCTTTGATTCAGTGTCAGAATTTGGCTTTAACTGTTGATTCCTTTTGGTTTAATAAGCTTTTCGACGTTTAAAATATGTTTAGGATTTTCGAATACTTTGGCCTCGAGCGTCACTGAAGAAGCATTAATTGTTGAAATGCGCATCTGGTGCAGTAAAACTTGAACCGTTAAAGTTATTAACATATGTATATAAAGTAAATGACCGAGGTATTATTTGTGATAAGGTAGTTTACAGATTTGTTCGCATTTTTATCAACAACTTCTCCCAAACAAGTGAATGAAATTCGATGTAATATCCTGAAAATCGTAAGCATTCCTTACCTTGTGTCAATTATTTCTTTTTTGCGTGAACCCCCTGAGGGGTTCACAATTATATATTGGCGAGTTTTGGATGTGTCTATGGGCCACTCGATATCTCTCGGCCGGAAGTCGGAATAAAATTCTCGGAACGTCTCGAAAGTTTTCGATCTTTAAACAGGTAGTTATCTACGTCTTTGATACGGTCACGCTATGGCTAGGCTACCACGTGACATTACACCATCAAAGTAAATTGAAAAGTAAACAATAAGGCTAGGTTGCAGTCAATAAATCGTTTAATTATAGAACCTTTTTGCCTTTTCACAAAACATATGTGTTTTTAATAATGTGAATGTTTATAAGCGCTTTGATGTGAAAGTTTCTAAGCAAGTATTATGACAACGCAATTATATTTGTTTTAAAACGACCCCTGTACACTGTGTGTATCTAGGTCAATTATAACGTGGTATTGTGCATTGTCATGATAACATGTAAACTAATTATGTCTGAAGATTTAACCACGTGTGTATTTTCATCATAGACTAAGGAGAGAACATTCTGGTTTAAATGTGTATATTAGATCGGAAAACAGAAAGATAATATTATTATCAAAAGTATTACATTTAATTAATTCAATAGAAATATAAGAAATATATACAAAATATATACTGTATTTATGTTTCTGTAGAAACTAAATATTAAATCGAAGTCAGAATATTTTCAGATTTGCAATTAAGAAATAAGTATTTATATGACAAGATACTCTGCTTTGGTATTTTTAGATATTCATTTGTAAATGAAACATGCATAATAATTAAATCTGAATAAATCCTAGCATTATACAAAACAAATGTTGATAAACAATAATAATTATATTTCTACGTTAATTATTTCCTACCGTTTTAGTAAGGTTTTATAAGTGTTTGTTATTCAATTTTTTGTATTGTAATATATCCATTAAACGGAAAGTAAGATAAATTAATTAAATATTTAAATTTTAAACGATCGTGAATAAAAATACTTGTGTGTTTTCAATTCACAAAGATTTTAAATCCTTGCAGTTCACAAAAAAACGTAATAATAATTTACAATAATCATAACAAAATTTAATTAAGTACTATCATAGTGTTAATTTTTTTGTACTGTTTTAGTATAGATTTATAAGTCTTTGCTTATATTTTGTATAGTTATCTATTCATATAGTGGAATGGTAGAATTTAAAAATAGATTCATTCGATAAATAAAATGTCCGTCCGTAAATACTTGACGTTTGTGTTTATTGATACTACATGTATATATATTAAAAATTTTCGGAAAACAATTACTAACAGGAACGTATGTTTATTATAAAATTTCAATTCTATTTTTGTTTGTTTGTTTTAATAGTTTAACCTTATAACATCTACATATGTGTACTATGGTACGGTTTTGAAAATTGTATTCACTGTGTTGCCCTACTATCCCACACGTCTTGATTCATTCCCATTATAGATCACATTTCAAACGCAAACAATCGGTTCGCATTTTCGTTTTTCTTATCTAAATTTAGGACACGGCTGTAAGAGATTCACATGTGACTTTCATGCACCGTCAATATTACTTACGGTATTCTGACCTCTAGCTGTTTCTCTTTTGTTTCTTTTTGAGTCACTGTCCTATAATAAACTTTGACCTTTTCGAAAAGCTAAGGATTGTTTACCCAAGGAATAGATTCCTTAACTTTGCAATTTATTTGGCCTTTGAACTTTTTTCATTCGAGTGTCACTGATGCTTTATGTAGACTGGCGTCTGGCGAACATCATTTCAATTCTGGTATCTTTTTATATCTTCATATTTTTTTATATAAATTGGTTATTTTGAGGGTATGTACAGGTATTCATAAAATTTCTGAATTAAGATATTCTTCGGCAAAACCAAGTTTCCCTGTAGAATATTTGAATTGATTTAAGTAAAATCAGGATATCCTTAAAATTTATTAGACGAAAAAAGTCTCTTTATAAGATGTCCCAATCAGTTGCATGTCACAGGGTTCATTGCAAATGGAAATTGGACTTAAGTTTATCTATACAATTAACATCTACCATGAGTACAGACAGCTTCAATAACGAGTTGAAAACATGAAGGTCCATGCTGGAGGCAAAATATAAAGATATGATAGATAAAATAAATGCATGCAGATTTCCAGATTATAAAGCAAACTGAGTGCATAAATTTATATTGCGATTGGTTTGTGCAATTTGCGTAAGTCATTCGGTTTGTAGAAATTGGGATTTGCAAAAGGGTTATCATCGGGAACATTATGTACATTCCCAAGTACTAAATAAAATGGTCTAGCTTTAAAATGTATATTCAAATAGTAGATGTAAATATACACTTTCAACTGACTTCTTCTAATCACAGTCAATTAATTCAATTCAAAAGCAAACACAAATTCAGCAACAATCTTTTGGTGACCCGGCAGTCAGCGGTCTTAGGTTCATGTATTGCTTTTCTTTTTTTAAAGAAAGCAACTTGTTTTTTTTTTATCAAACATTATTATTGGGGTTTGCCACAGCAGAACAAGGACTTTGCAATATCAAAATAATAACAGTTATTGTACTAATACATGTGCGACATGGCTGGTGTCACATGTGGAGCAGGCTTCATATTGCTCAGTCTTTTGTTTTCTCTGTAGTTTTTGTAGACGGTTTGTCGTTTCTTCATTTTTCATTATTTGTCATAACGTTGTCAATTATTCGTGTTCGACCTTTACGTTTAAATATCCTTTTGGTGCCGACTCTTTTAGATGGTGCGTATGAATTTGTACATACATTGACATGCTTTGATACTATATCTGCCCTTGAATTTTTACTTGATAACATTTTTGTTCGCTTTGGAGATTCCGTATATCGTCAAGTTATCGGAATTCCAATGGGGACTAACTGTGCACCACTTATTGCGGACCTGTTTTTGTATTGTTATGAGTTACAATTTATGACTAAAATCAGCAAAGACCCATCGAAACAACATCTGATACAAAAATTTAACAATACTTTTAGATATTTGGATGATATATTGGCTCTCAATAATGACAACTTCAGTATGTATACTAACGAAATTTATCCTGTTGAACTTACTTTAAATAAAGCTAATACTAACAATGACCACTGTCCTTTCCTCGATCTTGATATCTTTATCATTAACAGGAAGCTTAATACAAAAATTTATGATAAAAGAGATGATTTTTCAATTCCTATCGATAATCATCCATTTTTAGATGGTGACGTTCCCTTGTCACCATCTTATGGTGTTTATATATCTCAACTTGTACGATTCGCTTGTGTATGTAACAACGTATTAGATTTTAGCGAGAGAAATTTATATATTACTGAAACATTATTACACCAGGGTTTTCGATATCATAAACTAGTCAAAACATTTACTAAATTTTATCATCGGTATAAGGACATCATTCGTAAATATAACTCAACATGCAGACATCTTATACGTTCGGGTATTTCACATCCAATCTTTTATTGTAATATTCTTTACAAAGCACAAAAATGTCAGTATTCACCTCAAAAGCTAACAAAACCTTTAAACAGACTTATTAAGAAGGGATATAGTTACGATACTGTTGTCAGGTCATTAAAGATTGCATATTTTGGCTTTAATAGTGATTCACTTATAGGGTCTTTGCATCGGAATTAAACATATTTATTCTAAAGCCAGTTGTTGGCATGACACGGGTTATGTTCTTCTCATATATTTTATGACGGTATAATACTAAACCCCTAACAGGAGGGATTGTGCCTGATATTCATATGATGAAGACATAATCTTTCAATCAGTTTAATTGAGGTCTGGAGCTGGCGTGTCAGTAACTGCTAGAAGTCTGTTGTTATTTATGTATTATTGTCATTTTGTTTATTTTCTTTTGTTTCCTATTCTGACATCGGACTCGGACTTCTCTTAAACTGAGTTTTACTGTGCGTACTGTTGTACGTTTGTTTTTTCTACATTGGCTAGAGGTATATGGGGAGGGTTGAGATCTCCAAAAACATGTTTAACCCCGCCGCATTTTTGCGCCTGTCCCAAGTCAGGAGCCTCTGGCCTTTGTAAGTCTTGTATCATTTTTAATTTTAGTTTCTTGTGTATAATTTGGAGTTTAGTATGACGTCCATTATCACTGAACTAGTATACATATTTGTTTAGGGACCAGCTGTAGGACGCCTCCGGGTGCGGGAGTTTCTCGCTGCATTGAAGACCCATTGGTGGCCTTCGGCTGTTGTCTGCTCTATGGTCGGGTTGTTGTCTCTTTGACACATTCCCCATTTCCATTCTCAATTTTATGGATGTGAACTCTGCGTACAGATTTTGTACAGATATCACAAATGGTGATGCTGGATCATTTGATAAATAAAGGCAACAGTAGTATACCGCCATTCGAAATTCGTAAATCGATTGAGAAAAAAACAAATCCGGGTTACAAACACTGGATTCTATATTAAAAAAAAACTTTTTTCTTGTATTACTTAAGTCACCTTTGCGAGGGTAAAACAAAACAAGAAATGATAACATAACAGGTACAGGATATTCTTTTCACGAATTCAGTTAATTTGGTATTTTTAAATAGCATGTGTTTCATATTATTTGTAGGTGGAATCGAGTATAGCACTGAAACCGTTTATCAATGATGTGTCAAGGTCAGAGTTAAACGCTATCATGACTGGTGGCTTTGCTACAGTTGCTGGAACAGTTATAGGAGCTTATATAGAATTTGGGGTACTTATTTATTGGTTAGTAAAAAAATCGAACTCTTGTTTGATTGAACATGTCAAGAATGGTTTTTTTCCATGTATCCACTTCACTTGAACTATGGTGGAGAGTTGTCTCATTGCAATCACGGCATTTTTTGATAGAAAAACAAATGATCTGGGGTACCAATCAATGACACAAAATCAGTACATGCACAGCAAAAAACACAAAAAAAAGCAAAGGAACAGCGCTTTTATTGTGGTTCTTAATCACATAGTCACAGTGAGGCCTTTAACAATGAGCTAAACCAAACTTTTTTTTTTTATTATTCGTTGATGTTTTATTTTCACTTTAGTCAAAATTAATTCCTGCATTTTGTATTGCAGAATATTCTTTATTAGACTTGGTCAATTTTTTTTGTTGTTTTTAGCTCTTTCCAGGCCAGACTATTTTTTATATTAGAAATTGGTTACTTGCAGAATCGATACAGATATGACTAAAACCAGCAAACGTTTTACACATCAACGCATAATTATATACAAAAATAAACCAAATTGATAGAAATTATCATCCATACACTTTGGACTCTGATGAATAGTTGTCTCATTGGTAGTCATGCCACATCTCCATATTTTCTATGTCGTCTGTACTCCTTGCGTATGTAGTCCCAAAAATAGTTTCCTTTCTCTAACTTTAGTTTGCCTCAACCAAATGTTATAAAACTTATACACAATGCTTATTACCACAAAACACATATCATGGACACATTCTCCATCTATTTGAAGTGTAAAAACAATAAAGTTTCGTGTTGACATTATCTGACTAGGGACATACACCTGCTATCCCTTGTAAAGTTCATCGGCTATATTTATTGTAATGATGGACATTTGAATAGACAAATGATTGGCAGGTGAGATACATACTGACTATAACATGTTTACTGCTTTTGGTGTTTTATTGTACGTGTTAAATTAGCCCCAGAATTTAGCTTGTATTTATTGCTACTTGACTTCAATTTTTTTTTAATAGATTTATTCCACAGATTAAACTTGGTAAAGGAAAGGAGAAAAAAAAATAACAATGAGCAAAACCAATACCGCATAGAAATCTACATAAAAGACCCCCAAATGACAAATGTAAAACAGTGCAAACGTCAAAAACTAACAGCCTGATTAATACAAAAAATAATGAACGAAAAAGAAATATGATATACAGCAACACACTGCAAGCACTGAATTACACGCTCCTAACTTTGGATAGGAATATTCAGAATGTGATGGGATTAAAAATGTTTGCTGGCATCAAACCCTAACCTAGGACCTGGTGTACATGTAAAAGTACAACATAAGAACAAACTATAAATAAATCAGTTGAAAAGGGCTGAACTCATCAGATCGATACAAATCAGAAAAGGCAACTTACAAAAACACAGACAGGGCCTGGCAGGGGATTTATTTATCCCCCAACAACAATAAAGACATAAAGTACAGATACGAGAGTTCGCGAAGTGACTGACAGCTAGTTCAAAGCCAATAACAACTACATGTAATGAAAAATATGTATCTAAAACTTCCCTATCTCTGGTCCCTCTAAAATTCGCGATAGTTTTAGGCTGGTAAGATCTCGTACCTTACAAAACGATTATTTTATAATAATGTTAAGAATATCACAATATTCACAAATAAAAAGCACAAATTATAGAAACCGTCAATCGTAACTAAAATTCATGTTCACAACTTTGTGAATCTTGTGTCGTTCTGTTGCTGTCTCATTGATGCATATTACCAATAGCTTTTAGTCATATAAAATAATATAATATATAAATTAATTGAAATAATTGTTAAATAAGTGACACGAACGTGTACCATTCTCATCAATGTAAAAAGAAAGAAAGAAAATTAAAGAAAATAAGAAAAAGAAAGTTAGAATATATTAGTTGCTGGTTTTCGTTATGATTTGAATTTTGAAAACCAGCACTAATGAATTAGACTGAATGTGTCCTATTTTTTAACCGTACTGAACATTTTAATGTTATGAATTATTAACATTACAGGTTCCTGCCAATCACTTAATAGCAGCATCGTTTATGTCAGCTCCGGCGGCATTAGCGGTTTCTAAACTTGGATGGCCAGAGAAAAAGAAGGTAGATGGATTTAGTATGGACAATATAAACATTAACGTAGGGTAAGTATAAGTATATGTCAATCTTAATTAGTATAACATAACTCACCAATAATTATCTTGTTTGTATAGAGTGTCTCTCGTGTTATAGTTACATGTATGAAAAGGGGACACATGGAATAGGGGATAGGATAAAAGATGATTGTATGAAATCATTGTCTTATATATTAATTGATTGATTGATTGATTGATTGATTGATTGATAGGTGGCCTTACCTCCGATGGCAAATTTTAATATGTCTGATCCTGATCCTGATCCTAAGGTCGAAGTTCACAGAACAGGTCTCTCTGTACTATTTTTTTCCTCTGATGGTACACCGTTATTGATGGTAATTTCTCACCACACTTTAGAATAATAGTTTAAGGAAGGAATGGGATTCGGTACAAAAATAAGGAGATGTGGTATGATTGCCATTGAGACAACTATCCAAAGGTTCAAATGAAGTGGATGTAAGCAATTATAAGCATTGGTACGGCCTTCAAAAATGAGAAAAAAACATACCGTATAGTCGTCAATGAAAGGCTCTGATATGAAAAATATGAATCAATTCAACTGAGAAAACCAACGGCCTAATTTATATAAAAAAAACACAATGCATTTAAGACTAGAACAAATGAACAAACCTTATTACTATCTTCAGCATAGTATTTCGATCGAGATCATGGTTAAGATTATAATTAAGATTAACTGTTGAATACTTTGGAAAAGGAGTTTGTTAGATAGGGGTAAATAGTTTACCTTGCAATATGTGTATGCACGTCAAATATGGACCCATCAGAGAGTTGTTGCAATGGTTCTTTAGCACGGCCCTTTCCCAATCGGATTTTTACTTCCATAATACGACTGAACGGGAATGTGTATCTATACATCCTGTACTACTAAACTAACCTCAACATTAGTAGTCGTTTTATTGCCAAAATGGCGAATTCTAGGTGACCATTTTTCTGATGCTTTGTGTCTAGTTGCTTTTTAAATCATATTCTATCATATATAGCTTCATTAGTTTAATGTCAGGGTTTATTGAAACACTTTGCTTGTTCCTGAAAAGTAATGCAAAGGATACAACAACTATATGTGTGAACTATGAATAATGGTTTCTATAAGTTGAACAGTTGCAAAGTAATTACTTTCAATTAAAAGTAGATAATTAGCCAGTCGTTAGCAATTGACATAAGGAAGTACTTCTTTAGCTCAGTTGGTTAGAACGCTGCCTTCAAATACAGGTATCCCAGGTTCGAGTCCGGGAGAAGACAATGTGATTTTCAAATAAGAATCATGCTCTCCGTTTACTCAGTAAACATTGTAAAAGAGCATATACATGTTTACATGTTAGATTTATCACATTCGTTAATAAAAGTAACGATCTCTATGCCCTCAGAGTACATTATATCTGACATCTTTCAATTAGTTATGCATTATATATTTTTTTAGAAAAGAATCAAATCTAATGGAAGCAGCATCTGCAGGAGCGACATCAACCGTCAAACTTATAGCTTATGTAGTTGTTAACCTGATAGCATTCCTTGCCATTCTATCGTTTGTTGACGCCATTATTTCATTTTATGGTGATAGAGTTGGTCACCCGGAAGTCAATTTTGAGGTATTTATATTAGTAAATACCTTATTTCTTCACTTATACTTGAAATTAAACAAACATTCATTTGTTAAGGAACACGAGGTTTATTAAGAACAAACTGATAAATCTATGAAGATACCAATATGTTCAAATAACCAATTTATAACTTCTTATTGAACACTGTATCGATTCTAAATGGTAACAGCCTAAAGAAATAAGATTTAAAAAGAAACTGTCGTTGACATTTTACATTGACTGTCCGTTTTATGAGGTAAACGTTTGGTTTTGTAGACTTTTGATGAAAAAAAGTTGATATTCGACGAGACCAACAGTCTACTCCTTATTATATGTAATTCTTAGTGCTTTATATAATTAGTATAATTGACATAATTGACTCAGTTCTTTTAATATAGACTTCAGTTTTTAATTCAAACAGATATTTATATCAAGCTTAATAAATTAAAGTATAATGAGAGGAGTGTTAGCAATGGTTAGTCTTGCTACGAATTTACAGTTTATGAATGTGTAATAATATTTCTATACTTTTATATTTTCTGATTTCTCTATGAATTTTCCCATTTGATCTTTTTATCATTGAAAACGGCATCGAAAATCATCCGTTTATCCTTGTTTGCTATAAGACGCTTTACCTGAACAGTTGTTGATAGGGTGCTTTCTTCGAGGTCCGCGTGTGTAGCTATTAAACCAAGAGTTCCAAATGGTGAAGTTGAAATCATCCCTTCGTATATTTTACGGACGCCATCACGAGTTGGTTGATCGTTATGGAATAACTGTTTTACAGATGATATCGGATATGTTCCTTGTGTCGTAACTACAATACCCTTCCCTTTTCACGAATGTGACCTACCGAATTAGACTATTTACCGAATTTGTAATAACATAAGCAACACGACGGGTGCCACATGTGGAGCAGGATCTGCTTACCCTTCCGGAGCACCTGAGATCACCCCCAGTTTTTGGTGGGGTTCGTGTTGCTTAGTCTTTAGTTTTCTATGTTGTGTCTTCTGTACTATTATTTGTCTGTTTGTCTTTTTATTTTTAGCCATGGCGTTATCAGTTTATTTTCAATCTATGAGTTTGACTGCCCCTTTGGTATCTTTCGTCCCTCTTTTGTAGTATAAATACTGGGTAGTTATTCATTTGACATATCCAAATTAATAAACAAATTATAAATAAACATTATTGTGTGCCTTTTCTTTTCTCTTCATTGTATTCATAGATTTAATTGTATTCAAATCATTGTAATCATTGTAATCATTGCAATCATTTGTACCAAATTAACTTGATTATTCTGCCTGTAATGGGCGTCTTTAATTGACAATAAAATATATTTAAATATATTTGAGTTTGTATCCGACCGTGAAAGGGCTGTATAGCCAGTCAAGGTCGTTAAAAACTTCCATCGTCGTTTGGCATATCAAATTTGTCCACTGTTTACTTGGCTGCTGGTGTACCAGGACTACGTTGTTGCCGCTCGCTGCTGTTTGCGTGGCCTAGCTTTCCTCCTGTTCCTACTTTGGTGGCTCTCTTCTTTAATTATTTATTTTTGCGTATATATTTTTTATTTTTTATTTCTCTTTGGTTTACTATAAAAAAATATTTTTATTTTCTTTTATTTTATTTATTTTTATTCATCAATTAATTTATTTAATTATTTATTAATTTATTTATTTATTTAATTATTCTATCAAAATTATTCAAATTTTTACTCATTTTTACTTTTTATTTATAATAGTTTTCCCTCTTTTTTGTCATTCTAAATTATATCAATTACCATATGGTAAAACTTAAATTATTTAAATGCCCAAAAAGGCGCAAGCCAAGGCAAACCGTGCATGGGCTGTATAGCCAATCAAGGTCGTTAAAAAACTTCCATCGTTCGATCGTTTGTACCGAAGTCATAGACCAAAGCAGAGCAGAAGGGTAGGAGAGTGGATGGTTTATAGCAAGCAGCCGGACTAGTTAAAGAAGTGAAGTGTTTGAAACTAGCTGACTTGATATAGAAAGGCTGAGACAGTTGGTTCGGTACAAATTGTCCAAACAGGGCTGGTGCTATAGTTTTGCGTTTCACTATTGCAGTGAATGTTTGCTGATATATCATGCCTTAGTGCTACCCTGTTGTTCCTACAGTTATAGACATGTTTGTTTAATAAAGTTTCATATGAAAGTTAACATAGTTTAAATTTGTTCATACATTACTTTTATAATAGGTTCCATACATTTAGGTTTTAGCCCAGTTCCTGTCCTTTAGGTTTCAACCCAGTTCCATACATTTAGGTTTCAGCCTATAGTTCCAAACGTTTGGTTTAAACAAATATCAGACTGAAAGGGGTTTAAACAGTTTTAATTTACCAGGTTCGGGTTAGGTTGATAGGTGTTGAAATTCATTTTATGTAGTATTTGTTTTATATTTAGTTGTATAGAGTAAACCTTTTTGACTTTGAAAATTTTGCATTGCTCTTCAAATCCCAGGAAACTGGTACGAACCCGGTGATAAAAATATTAAAACGTCCCCGCCCGGTTACACGTTACAGTCTGTTTAATTCAACCAATTCAACCATATTTTGTCAAATTAAAGGGCATAAACATGAGCCTGTTTCGACTAGATCTGAGGCTACTTTTGATTTAACTTGTGTTGTTGGAATAATGTCCCATTGACTTTTTTCCGTCATTTTATTTGTAGTTATAGAAATTCAATGCACGTTTAACAACCTTGTTCTGTTTCAGTGGCTCTGTTCATACATTTTCATGCCATTAGCTGTCATTATGGGAATACCATGGACAGATTGCCGAGTTGTAGCCACTTTGATTGGAAAGAAAATTGTACTCAATGAATTTTTAGCGTATATTGACCTAGGAAATCTAATGAAAGAAAACAAAATTGAGGTAAGATTTGATTTATAACTTGCTCGAAATGGAGAGTGTATATTTTATGTCTGTCCGCCTGTCTGTTTTTCCAATGAAATTTTTCTATGGAACTACACATACTTGAAAGAGCTTTGCGAAATTTATTTCCTAGCTTCATGTGATTAGGCTTCCTGTATTATGCATCGTTTTTAGCCTCATTGCTCATAATCTTTTAATTAGCGTATACTTATATATTTTTTTTTACAAAATGACCATATTTGGTACGTTTTGAACTTGTTTATTATACTTTTTGACGCGTTTTCACATCCAATGCTGTTCAACTTCGACGGAGCTGATGTTTGTGAGACAATAATCCCCTAGAATATTTTCTATCCCTATAATGCCGACCTACTTTTAAGTTATTTCAAAAAAACTGAACAAAATATTGCTTAAAAGCAGGTTGACCACAACCAGTTTTTTAGAAAAGAAAAACAAAATCCGTCATTGTTGTTTTGTGTACATTTTACAGAAACCTTTTGGTAAACTGTGTCATTATTTTCGTATTTTAGGGTCGCTCTGCAGTTATCTCAACATACATATTATGTGGGTTTGGAAGTATAGCAGCTATGGGGATAAATCTGGGAGCATTGATTGCAGCTGAACCCAGAAGACGAAGAGATTACGCTAGAGGAGTGTTCAGAGCATTTGTTTGTGGAAATATTGCATGCTTCATGACTGCTTGCATTGCAGGTAAAGATATGGTGTTATAATACTTTTTCGATATTGAATAAAGAAAAACAGTAGCATACCGCTGTTCAAAAGTCATAAATCGATTAAGAGAAAACAACTCAAGGTTAACAACAGAAACACTGAAATCAACAAAACCAAACGACAACATACATAGAAACGGAATATTTGATGACAACTGCCATATTTCTGACTTGTTGCATGACATTTGAAGACAAAATGGTTGGTTGAACCTAATTTTTTGGCTAGCCAAACCGCCCGCTCATATGACAATGCTAAAAATATCACTAAAATGACAACACTACGTGACAGGAATACAGTACAAAAAACACAAGAACACTCAATACAGAGAATTACATAAATAAATATTATAATAGTACATTACAACATGTTAACCACAGAATAACAACGGACACCTCCCATTAAAAACAACACAGGATACCACAAACAGATATCAATACATGGAAATGTTGTATATACATCAATGGGACAACAACACCGTAATTAAAAGACAAAAAAAATACTTGCAGAGGTCAAATAAAGTTTATACAACAAACTTATTTTATTCAAAAGTATGTTATATGCAGCAAATCCGACTACCTTATGCACTTGTATAAATATACTAGTAGTATATACATAGAAAAATAAGATGTAGTATGATTGCAAGTGATACAAATAGCCACAAAAGTTCAAAAGAAATGGATGTAAGCAAATATAGGCAATCGTACGGGCTTCAACAATGAATCTGCTATAATAGACCCCCACATGATATCTATGAAACAATTCAATTGAGAAAACTTACGGCCTAATTTATAAAACAGCAATTAACGAAAAATTAATATGACAGATCATGAGATATGAACTAACGACACCCACTAAATTATGAGAATTCTTAGTACACCCATTATTTTTTTTAGATTTGTAGAAATCAAAGCCTGACTAGAACTACATAATTAAATAACTCAATTCAATCTTTTTCAGGCATGCTTTACACAGAGCCTCTTCCGGTCTTCAGTAATTCTACAGATTTCAACACCACATCGAATTCATCGTTATTCAATTTGACGTCATTAAATTCCTCATTATTTATAACAAATCAGACGAATACCCCTGGAGGTTCAGGTTAAGGGGTTCACATTTTTTTTAACATTATTAACATTTTATACAACTTTATTATAGATTTATTGTTGATACATGTGCTATGCTCATCATTGGCCACTTAATCTCGCAAGTGAATTCTATACAACAGCAACAAGTCTTGCTAGATGTTATATATAAAATTTCGGATATGTGGTGTTATATCCAATGCACAACTATAACAAAACCGTAGAATGTGGACAAACCCAAATCACCGTACATTCTTAAACAATGAGCAAAAAGGTATTTACTTTTACTAAAATCGCTAGCCAAGGGTTACAATCAGATCCTCCCCTCTTCACCCTTGGCGGATTTAGACAGCATTTGTGTAAACAGCGTTGTGTCATCTAGCGAAAAATAGAAGTCACGACCACTCTGATTACACCATACTTGACCAATTTCAGCACTTGACTGATTTTTAATTCGGAGGTGTAAAAATTGCTGGTCGAGTGTTTACAAATTTCATTGAAGCAGAAATCGCTATTATACGTTGACATTCCAGCTGTTGCATGAGGAACTTAATATACAAAGAACTTCAATTAGTTGATTAAAACTTTAAAAATAACACTGAATATCGTTTCCTTTTCACCAAATGTGACCTACCGAATAAGACTTTTCAATGGGTTTGTACTTATCTGCTCACCCTTCCAGGTCATCTGATATCACGTGCCAGTTTTTGACAGGGTTCGTGTATATCAGTCTTAGGTTTTCTTTGGTTTTCTATGTTATTTTTTTGTGTACTGTTGTTTGTCTGTTTTTCTTTTTTTCTTTTTTTTAGGCATGGCGTTGTCAGTTTATTTTCGACTTTTGAGTTTGAATATCCCATTGATATCTTAAGCCTCTCTTTTATAGATTTTTATAGATGGCTTCCATATTCAAAAATGTTTATAAGCGTTATAATTAACACTGTTCAAAGTTTCATACTTTTATAATCAAGTGGTCAGTTATACCAATATATAGGACGTATATTCTTGACTGTGGGGCGGCCATTTTGGAATTTGTTTCGACGGTTCCATATCCAGTCTTCACTGTTCTCATGATATGAAATTTCAATTAATGCCTGTGGATTCCCAGGTATCATAAAACCACCGAAACGAGGGTGGTTACGGTCGGCCGTCAATCCGATGGTCCTCACTATGTACCCGACACATTAGTTGTTTGCAGTATGACAGTCCGTCTAGAATCACACTTTCGAGAATTTATGCGGTTACCTGAAATGTCTGGAAGTGGCTGGTCTCCCAGGTCTAAGTTACAAGGGGGAAAATTCTCCGCTGATCCTTAAAATTCCAAAACGGTCAACCAACTCTTGATGACATCCGTAAACTTTACAAAGGGATGATTTCAACTCCGTATCTCGGTTTAATAGCTTCCTTGTGAGCAGCAACCCTCCGTCAAAGAAATAATAATAGGAAATACACGCCCTGGAATATTGTATCAACTTGGAGACTTATATTCCGTATGCAAGCGCTGCTAGTTTATAAAGAGCTTTATACCCAAGCAATTGTTTTCTTTAGTCAGTATGATTCAGTCTGGAACCACATTCAGGATCGTTTCTTATTGTCAGTCGAAATTAACAACAGCACAGCTTTTACAAGAAATATCATACACTCCAAGTGTGTACTTATTTGGGAATAATAATCCAATGTTACTCTAGAAAACAGTATCTATTAGACAAGTGCACTTTCATCAAACTCGGACTGTCTGTTTCCTACGAGTGTTAGAACTTTTACTTCAGTGACCAGTGATGCTTATAACCATATAGGTTTTGTTAGCCGTACTCATCAACGGCAAAATACATTCACTTCGTTTGATGTAGGCAACATTGACCACAGTCCAAACAGCATATCATAAAAAGATTCATTTCATGGTACCGGTACATCTTTATTCCAAAATACTTCGAAGGATAATCAAGGAGTTTTGCAGACATTTGACAAATCTTAAGATATTCTAAATTTAGTCAAAGACCGTCTCGTATATACAAGATAGTTATCTGAATCTGCCATCAGCTGAAGAAAGATTCAGCAAACCAGATATCCCAGTAGTTAAACATGTTAAAGGAGAACTATCAATTGATTTGTCTTCATTCCCAGTTGCATTAATCATGTTAAAAGTGGATTTAAATGGATCAAAGATTTTGCGGAAATTTCAAGTGTTGAAGCTGAAGTCGGGACAAACATTTCATGGTCTGCATTTCGCATTTCATGACTTATCCTTGCCAAATGAAAATAAACTACCAGCAATGTCTACCCGTGTAACTCTGTTTCATTAGCAAGATAAATATGTTGCAATGATACGACATTCATTGAACGTTTTCGTAGGCTGTAAGGAAGATTATTCCAGATAAAACTACAATTTTTGCTTTTGACAAACTACTTTTCACGGTAGTTAAATTAATATTTTGGACCATACTGGTCTCGCACGTATGGTGAGAAAAATTGTGTCATAATGTTCGGCGGCCTTCACATAGCAATGGCTGCGTTCAAAGCCCTTGGTAGTTGGCTTGATGATAGTGGATGGACTTCTGTTTTAGTAAATGACCAGGTTACATCATCTGGTACAGCAGATTCATTCATTCCTGAATGCGTCTCATGTAACAAAAACATATGAAACACGCCAAGTTGCAGCAAGTACACTTCACTGTTTATTGTCAGAACCGCCAGTACACATATTCTTTGGTAATGAATTCGTCTTAGAGTTCGTAAAGTGGTATTTTGAAAGATCAATTAAATTTCCTTATTTTAAACTCTGGTATGTAATATAAAAATAGGGAGATGTTATATGAATGCAAATGGGTAACTAACTATACATCCCAGTTGCATTAATCATGTTAAAAGTGGATTTAAATGGATCAAAGATTTTGCGGAAATTTCAAGTGTTGAAGCTGAAGTCGGGACAAACATTTCATGGTCTGCATTTCGCATTTCATGACTTATCCTTGCCAAATGAAAATAAACTACCAGCAATGTCTACCCGTGTAACTCTGTTTCATTAGCAAGATAAATATGTTCCAATGATACGACATTCATTGAACGTTTTCGTAGGCTGTAAGGAAGATTATTCCAGATAAAACTACAATTTTTGCTTTTGACAAACTACTTTTCACGGTAGTTAAATTAATATTTTGGACCATACTGGTCTCGCACGTATGGTGAGAAAAATTGTGTCATAATGTTCGGCGGCCTTCACATAGCAATGGCTGCGTTCAAAGCCCTTGGTAGTTGGCTTGATGATAGTGGATGGACTTCTGTTTTAGTAAATGACCAGGTTACATCATCTGGTACAGCAGATTCATTCATTCCTGAATGCGTCTCATGTAACAAAAACATATGGAACACACCAAGTTGCAGCAAGTACACTTCACTGTTTATTGTCAGAACCGCCAGTACACATATTCTTTGGTAATGAATTCGTCTTAGAGTTCGTAAAGTGGTATTTTGAAAGATCAATTAAATCTCCTTATTTTAAACTCTGGTATGTAATATAAAAAAAGGGAGATGTTATATGATTGCAAATGGGTAACTAACTATACACCAAATATTTTAAAAAGTGGATGTAAGCATTAATAGGTAATAGTTTGGCCTTCAACAATGAGAAAAAACATACCGTATAGTCGGCTATAAAAGACCACGACATAAAAAAATATGAACAATTTAAATGCGAAAACTAACACCCTAATTTATAACAAAAAAATTTACGAAAAAACAAATATGACAGACATAAACCAACAACAACCACTGAAATACAAGGCTCCTGACATGGGACAGGCACAAAAAGAATGTGGCGAGATTCAACGTGTTTGTGAGCGCTCAACCATCATTATACAAATAAGAAGATGTCGTATGAATGCCTATGAAATAACTCACCATATCCAAGATACAATGTATCAAAAGGTTATAAATTATACCAATGCAAACGGTAATCAAAGATCTAAATTACAGTGTTGAAATGGCAACTTCTTTTAATAATCTAATTTAAAGGATTGATAAGTTTACCCGGATCAAAACAACATCACATTAATATTGTGTTCTTTTTTATAAGTGATTGTTTATTTGTGCTACGTATCGATGTATTAAGTTCGGCCTTCTGCAAATCCTGTTTACAGTTTGTTCCTTTAATAGTGCTGTAACACCACTAACCCAGTTTAGTATTGAGACCCTCACAAAGCTGTATGCGCTAGTCCAAAGTCGATGTCCTGTAGTTCAGTGGTTGTTTTTGTTTTGCAGTCATTTTATTTTTTCGTTAATTGTATAGTTATAGATTGAGTCGGTTGTTTTCTCGTTGAAATTATTCCTCATTTTTCATGTCGGTGCATTTTATAGTTGACTATACGGTATGGAATTTTCTTTAACGTTGAATGCCTTACGGTGACCTATAATTGCTTATATCCATGATATTTGAACTCTGATAGATAGTTGTGTCATTGGCTTCTTAAAAAAAGTTTAAAAGATTTCAAATTGAACATTTTCCAGATTTTTAATGTACAAAAACATGTTTGACGTCGTATGACCTTGTATGAATTAGCTAAAATGTTTGTTGCATTTTCATTATGATTTGTTATTAATTGCCTAGGGATTGGTGTTTTATTTAAAGTGTTTTACTGCTTTTAATTATTTAATTTGGCTTTTTCTTAATTGCACCTGTAAGACATACTTTGCTTTTGTGTAATTATAGCATAGTTGTAAAAGAAGCGTTTTAACAATCAAGGTTCTCAAACGTTTGCTATTGTTACACATGCGTTAAACGATTTGATTAGTTAGTCATCTTTGAATAGTTTTGATAGGTTTTACAATAGATATAAGACAATAAGATTAATGGAAATACTTAATTGTTATATTTTCAATAATCGATTACTGACTATGGATTGATAAATTGAATTAGTTTTGTATGCTTAAAGTTATGTGGCAATTATTTCATGTATATTTAGGACAACGAATTTATTAAATTATACATGATATTCTCTTTTACAGTTTTTTCAGTTCAAAAACCATCATGATAATCGATTATAAATGTGTTCGAATTCATCTTCAAGCTCTTTTCTTTCTTCTGTTCCTTGCATTTCGATTTCATCACAAAGACCTAAACATGTTATTCCCTCATATAACATGATTGCCATGTGCCATTTTGCAGCATTATGGTCAGGTCTAAAGGTCCATGATGCCATAAAGCATTCCAATGCCGAATGAAGATATCCGCTTTCCTTGAACAGACAGCCAAGCAGATTTTGTGCCGTATCAACATGAGTAAGATTAACATTTCGTTCTATTTCTATTAGTAAGGAAAGTTTTGATATTTCCATTGCTTTATAATTACCAAGTTTCTGATTAACCACGAATAACATGTAAAACAGGAATATGTCAGAGTCTACGGTTGCGCAATCAAACCAGTCGTCAACGTATGGTTTTTTAGGTGTCTGAAAATTGTATACAAAGTCGATACAGTACACACATATTTGCATTTAAATAAAATGTGTCCATTCATTTCAATCATTCAAGTTTTGATGACATTGAAAATAACGTCTACTTTCATATTGTGGTTCCTTTAACAAATGTACGTACAACATTTTAGGTAGTGT